TTGCAAACTGAGGTAAACAATGCCTGTAACCTTAACAAGTCCTATCTTAATCGTCCATCTAACTGGAACTTCCTTTACCTCTTAATTGGAGGGTTCAGTGGCCCTCAACTCTCCTGTACCCTCTTTCTTGAGAATATCGAACGCATTCTCGCTGGCGGTATTTATCTCAGGTAAAAATCTGCCTGAGTGTTATTTTCAAAGAGCAGCTCCCGCAACCCTGGGGGCACTAGATAAAATCTGGACGCCAGGTTTAAGAAGGAGCTAGAGAAACAAAGGAAGAATTTTTCTGCAAAGCTTCAAAGAATTTTGACACGGACTTGACCCAGCTTACCCCTCCAAACTAACAGGGTGACATGGGCAATTTTTACAAACAAATAATTAATCTGAGATGTATCAGAGCTCTGTCGTGTCGTACAATTGGTTGTTTTGGGGAGCCATGCATCCACATGTAAGGTGAATGAAACCGTATGTTAGTTCAACTCAGATGTGGATCCAGGATTATTCGAAGGGGGTTCCACATATGCGAAGCTAGCCTCCTTTTAAATAAATATACCGTTCTGGGTAATAATAATATTGAAACTTTTTTAATTGCGAGAATATTTCTGAATAAATGATGATTTTATTATTAATGGAAATTAAGCTGCGATGTGTGGTACATATGCTGTAATTACGCTGTCCTTCATCTCTTGCGTTTTGCTGGGAATTTTAAAAGTCTGTGCATACAATTTTTAAAGGTCTGGTTACGCCCCTGTAAATTGCTGATAATTTCCCTCTATTATGAAATATATCACGTGTGTTTGGACAATAAGTATAACATCTGCTCATTGTCTAAATAAGACATCCTAAATAAGTAGAAGCCCTAAAATTAAATACATTGTAAGTGTGTGTATATATGAATGTATGTATGTGTGAATGGAGAGAGAGATTCTTAGATAGAATGAAAAAGTATTTTTTTTTATTTTGTAATTTTCCATTACTAGTTTTGAAGAATTTTCATACATGTATATCGTACAGGTTCCCCTCATTTGTAGAATTTTCATACATTTGCCTTCTTTTCAGAAATACGAATGCAGTCTCCACGTTTTAAACCCCGGTTTGTTTCAAATTTTTGTGCACTTCTGAGTCAATAAGAATCATATTTTTCCGGATAACAGACAAGGAATCCCTTCTTAATACGAAAACTCGAACATTTTCTCTTTATCCGAGTTCAAATCACCCTGAGCTTCAGGGTGAGTTCAAATATATTTCATATCTAAAATGGCAATCCAGGCGTTTTTACCGATTAAGCATTTTGTGAATTTTGCAGCATATATCCTTACAATCATATCAAATATAAGATAATAGCATGAATAAATAGTGCGGAAAACTCAGAGATTGATCTGAACACGTAAATCAGATTAAAATAAGACAGAGTATCGCTTATTACCGCAGACGCATTCAAATCTATACTAGTACTCAATGAATTACATGTATATAAAACTTCGAGTGGATTAAAAACTTTTCCAGTAAGCTGTAGGGAATTATCAACGATGCTGACATTGTTGAGAACACCAGCGGATCAATATCCGATCTATAATTCAAGCTGGGTGTCAAAGACAATAAGTTTAATTTGTATTCAGCAAGCCGTGGCGGTCAAAATCACCATCTCTATGCTATTTACAGGTTATTGATCTGACTCGCGCGCGTACGTTTTTGGATATAACGCAGTTGAAGAGGAAATTTTTTATCAGCTGGATTCATCGTGGAATACACGGGTATAGGAAATTAAGGTGAGCAAGCCCGTCGTTTTGAAATCATGTCCGTCACTTTGATAATCATTCGGCCCTTACGTCAAAGTGAATGGTGTTGTCCCTAATTTTATATTGCCCAAACCAATATTATGCGAAAGAGACGCATTGAGTGCGGTGTTTCTGGAGGAGATAACAAAACAGTCACAAGAGGGCGATTTGGAAACATACTCTCTTTTGAAGTGAAATCGGATAATCAATGAAATTCTCAATACCGATGATTCAAAGATGTGACTATTTGTGATAAGTTAAAAGCTTTATTAAATATATTTACCCTTAGCCTAGTAACGAGGCATTGCTGATTACATGCTGATGCAAGCAGAAAACTACTACGATTACGTTCCTGTGTGCAAGTCATTTTACTACCTCTGACTTTTTCACTTTTTCCCTATCTGCCACCCTGGTAGAGGGTACTTGCTAACCATGTTGTTTTCAAGTAAAAATCCAGAATTAGGAAGTAAAGGATTGGATGGAAGCTTCACAGTTACGGTTTATCATAAACGCTAAAATGCAAAAAATACAACAATATACGTACATCGTGTTATTATCAAATAATATGATTATTTCAATAAACAGCTGATCCTTTACATTGGTTCCCTGTAAATCATACACGGACAAATGTACAGGATCACCAGTGGCGGATTTACAGGGGGGGGGGGGTCAGAGGGGTCCTGACCCCACCTTCGATTTCTGAAAAAAATCACATCAACGTTCCCTCTTGAAATTAGAATTTTGACTAGCTGAATCATAGCTCTAAACAATACCAAATGGCACTGTTCGCCCTCTAAAATACCAAAATTTTTGGGGCCCTTTAGCGGGCCGCGAACCCCACGCCAAAGGGGGGGGGTCAGGATCAGCTTCTCATATGCGTCCTGTCATTCCTAAAAATGGACCCCCCTTCAAATCAACCTGGATCCGCCCCTGATGACTGTTATAACTTTATACATAAACATTGTCTCTTTTACCAGTACACAAAGATAAGTTATTTAACTCTACTACTGGCCTAATATTTCTCTATAACTGACGACGTTGTGTTTCCCTCTCGGAGACTTCAAAAGGTCTACTGAGTCCAGTGATGGATTTAACTTATCTTTATGACTGGATAACATTATTACTACATTAATAATATTAATGTCCTTTTTTATTTTTTTTAATTATATATATTGATAAATATGGCAGCCCCTGATGCATACATGCTTTCTTCATGTCATTTTTTTTGTATAATTTTACAACCAACACCACTCTCTCTCTCTCTCTCTCTGTCTCTCTCTCTCTCTCTCTCTCTCTCTGTGTGTGTGTGTGCGTGCGTGCGTGCGTGCGTGCGTGCGTGGACGTAAGCGCAGGTTTTTGCTTTCGCGTGTGGGTATGTGCGCTAGTGACGTACAGTATGCGTACAGATAAATGTCCTTCTGCACACCTAAAATCTCTTGGAGGCTTGACCCGTACACAATTAATACCGGAAAAAAAGAACATTTTCATGTAAATACAGACATGAAAATCCCTCCCTAAATGACGAATTTTTTTTCTTTTGAAAATTGGATCTTTTCTTTATATTAAAAAAATAGTTAATTTTGCGAATGACAGTTCTCCTTTTCGGGTATCAATTTCAAAAGCGAATATATATTCAATGACAAAATTAAATAAACACACCATGAATTCCCTTACTCTATAGGCCGATTTCATACTTAATCATATGAAGGCAGCGTATAGAATTAGGTAACTCTGATTACAAAATTATATAGTGAAGCTCTTGATAAATGCCACATAAGTTCTTTAAGCGCTCAGTAATGTCAAGTCCCATTATTTCGGTGTCGACCATCTAGCTGACCGAGTTCCGACAAAGGAAAACAAACCTCTCCCAGCATCCCAATCACAAGTAGCTTGAGAAATACTTCTCGTCTAAAACAAAAAATAAATTAATTAAAATATAATAAAAACAAACATGCGAGTAGATCTATGCTGTAAAGAAGCGCTCGATTTTAAGAGAAAATAAAGCAAGTTACAATTGCAAGTTTATTTGTCGGCCAAGAGCAGATTAAAGTAGATTTATTCATTTATTTTTTATTTATTTATTTATATGGAAATAAATGCACAATATGTATTTGTATGGAAACAAATGCGCACCGCCATTTCTTCAACGTGATCAACGTCTAATAATAGCTAAAAAATGCTCTCACCGTTGCTTACAAAGATCCTGTAACAGCTGTCTCTTCCGCGCCCTTACGATGGCGCAGGTAACCTAGAAATTGCATCACCGACATAATTTGAAACTTATAAAATACTGCTTATTTTTACATGAATAAAAGTTTTGTTATGACAGTTTTCCCTTGAAATTATATATTACACTAATTGGATTTTAGAATTTAAACAAATTATATTATTATATTATCGATAGAGATGAAAGAGAGATAAAAAATAAATAAATAGATGGTTGAAGTAAATAATGTCCTTACACAAGTAGCATGGCTGTGGCTGACCGCTTTGGAAAGTCTCCCTCCTCTGTAACCAGTCCAGGACCTTTTTGAGTTTCTCAATGAGTGGAATATCAACGTACATCCCGCGGCTAGCAGTCCTGATGTTTGCCTAGAATCAAAATGGCGGATATTCATCGGAATTATACATATTGTCACTTTCTAACGAATTATAATGCGGTATATTTTAATCCAAACGAATTCATTGTAACACAAAAATTAAGAATGATAATATTTCACAGAAACACAGACCAAAAAACGTAAAAAATAACTTGAAAAAAAACTTAGATATTTAATAGACAGAGTTTCAAGAAACTCCCTAAAACCCAGGGCGACAATCACTAAAATCTATCATTAAGTCAACTGAAGAATAAATTAACTGAAATAAATAAAAGAAAGTACGGCGGTACCTCCATCCACACTCCTTCAATAGCGTCAGGCGTCCAATACCACTTCCCTTCCTCTGGACAATACGTCACAGTCATTTTGTCCACCAGTCCTTGCCCTAATAAATAAATAAATAAATAAATAGATAAATAAGTGGATGAATACAGCTAGGGGCTATCATATAAACAAATTGATAGGCAGTCTAGAAGGCTCACAGTAACTGAAAGAATCGTGGCTTTGTAAACCACTCTGACACAATTGCATATCTCCAGATTTGCGATAAAGTACCAATTATTCTTAGTTCTATTCACGTCGAACAGCCACAGGCAGGATTTGATAGGCCTGGAACGACAGATTGACAGAAATGTTATTTTTTTGGCGGATTTATTTCCCCCTCATCCCGTATTATCAAAGCATTTTAATGTTGTTTAAATCAAAAACACCAGGAAAATGCACTAATATACCTTCATTTTTCTCTGGGGCAGCCAAGTTGCCCAACAGTTCTACAGCCTCTTTAATCTCATCTTTGTTTTCCAAGGACACCTTCACAGACAGCTTCTTGCCTTGCGCAGCCGCAATCGACCGCATCTTGTCCGAAACCAGTATCTTCTCAAAGCAGGAGGACAGAGTTCCACGTTCATTCCTTTGTATGATTGTCTTCAGTGTAGAGACGCCCTTTGCCCGGAGAGTTATCAAAATACACCCCTTGTCTACGGTAGTGCAGGAACAGTAAAGTGCGTGCTCTTTGAGTTGGTTTATGAACTCGAGGCTTTCCGCTTTACGGCGCATTTCTGCCTCCAAGTGCTCACGTAAACCCTGTGAAGCGTCTGTCTGTTCGTCACCTGTCACTTGGAGTCTTACTTTTATCAGTGCCGGAAGGACAAAAATGATCCAGTCTGAGAAAAAAAATGCAATACTTTTAACACGTGTGCAAACGTTATGCAATTGTTCCCAAATTCGTGATTGAGTTAAGCCAAAAATATCACTTTCTATAACTCGTAAGACAGGCTTCGATTGTAATTTTTTGGAATTTATTTAAACTTCAAAAATAAATGAAAAAATAAATAAACTAAAAGGGATAAGAAGGAAAACGGTGTGCCACGGATTTTCTTCTCCTTATCTCTTCATTCGATTCATAAATAAAGGCACATATTACTAAATAAGTTTATTTTTTTCGTTGTTGTATCAGAACTACGTTACGTCTATCTATATGTACAATCCTTGATACTTACCTAAACCAAATATACTACGCAGCCTCTGTCCTTCTGGAGAATCTGGACTAAATATAAGTTCAAGGCATCTGACGTACGCCTGGGATCTCCAGAACTGCTCGGCAGTTCTTAGCTCGGCCTCTCGTGTGGTCTCTTGGGTCGCCTCACTAAGGTCCTCTTCTAAAACGTTGGGACTTGGATTTATGAATCCACCTGTTACCATGGAGCTCCAGGATGCAGGAATTGGTCCGCCCACCGCCACTGGCACGTCCCCCGGATCCAAGTGTACACCGCCGCTTGACGGACCCTCGGGATCGGTGTGTTGGGGGTCTGATTCCTCCCTCCTTTTAGGCAGATATTGGGACTCCACACTGTCTTCAGCTGAGCACATGGGGCAGGTTGCTTCACTGTCATTATTGCTGCTGTTGTTGTTGTTGTTTTCTGCGCTTCTCTCCACATCGTGTGGCTGAGGAAACGGAGTAGCTACATTTCTGTCGCCTGTTTCGAGACTTTGGCCTTCTTCGAGGAGGCTTCTACCAAGTTGGTCCCTCAGAACGCTTTCGTCCTCTTCACTGCGGCCTTCTCGATTGTCAGCGCCATTTTCATCGGCAGTGAACACCTGTGACACGTCATGGGCTTGCGGGGTGCTCACCGGTTCTTCCGTCATGGCATTGTCTGGAAAACCTGCACGTCCGTCTTCCCCTTCACTGGACTCCGCACACTGACTGTTGTGGCGACTTCTAGACATGTTTTGATCTGTAACTGGAAGGGGAATCTAGCCTTCAAAGGAGAACCCAGGAGTGGGCGGGTAGGACACAAGTGCTCCCCCAGCTGCTAAACTACCACCACCGCCCCCCTCCAACGACACACACAAATAAGCGTCAAATCTAAATAAGACAAAATTTAGCATATAATGTAAAATTGTCCTCATTTATAATTTTATATACCTCTTTTCGATCGGTAATTACTTTCACTCCCCAAAATTTATACAAAACTGAGAAACTGTCAGTAGTTACTTTTACCTGTAAATGTTGCTTACAGATATAATTTGATGCCACCAGTTAAATTGTTCAGTGTTTTAATACATAATCCAAGGGTCGTTATCAGTTTATAAGTTAACTGACGTGAAAACAGACTAATAAAATAACCATCCATATCAGCTTTTTGGCTGCCATTTGTTGACATGCGATTTATTGAAGGAGAACTGAACTTTAAACAAAGGGTTATTTCGTTAAATTCCTTTCAATATGTATGTTATAATTTTTTTTTTTTACTTTTTTACATATACAGGCCCTGTCTTTGATCACATAAAGGAAATATGTAATTAAAATTGCACAAACTCTTTCCTCAAACAACAACTCAACTCGACTAAGTTTATTTACAATCCGCTTGTTGAGGCTGCACTTAAATACCTAGTACAAAACGCAGCTGATAACCCTTTGTAGCTATGAACATGAAAGTCTATATTCACCTGTTTTATGTGACCGCCTCCAAGTTCCAGTGACTGATATTTGTAATACTATAATAATTTTAATTTAAATCAAAAGAACCTTCCTCCAAAATATCGAGAACGGTCTAGAACGTCGTGAACATATCGGTTGACAAAATTTTAACTGAATTTTTTGGCGGGAGAATTATTTATTTGTTAACCAATTCAGCCTAGTAAAATTTTAACATGATGTAATATGGGCATTTTTCGATGAGTAACACAAGCATTAAGTAAACTTTAAATTCTTCTAAGAAGCTATACAAGAAGCTGTAGTTGCTTTAAGACTTGAAAATTTTGATGATTAACACATAGTAAAAGTTATAACTCGATAACTTCCTTAACTTCATGATTTATTGATCAATGTATCAATAATATCGTTAGGGACAGATTACTCGAACGTGACAAGCATTCGTACGTGTAAGTCTGCTTGGTGATTACGATTCTATGTATTTACACGGTTAAGATGCATGAAAATTGGAAATTTAGAGGGTGGTGTCAATGGGAAATTCTGATATTAATTTGGGTAAATCCATTTTCATGTATTTTAAGTAGCTATCTGGAATTCCCCGATGTGCAGTAAAAGCGTGTCAAAATATGTTTAACCCAGTGACTGTATTGAGGTCATCTTTTGTCCTCACTTAGACTAACTAGGTTACAACTCGTTGTAAACAAACAACAAGTTAGAGACGCTACCGCACACGTTTAAGCTACAGAAAGGTACTTACTGGCGAGAGTATAGGGCTATACTAGGGCGGGGTAGGGGTAGGAAAAGAAGGGTATTTTTCTGAGCCCACCAATACAAACATAAATCCCTTGACGGGGATTATTTTAATGTAATATGCAGCCGTTCGGTAATTACTTTACCCCCCCCCCCCCACCCCTCTTTTCAGCATTACCGCAAAACTACCAGTAGTTACTATTTTTAACTGTAACTTTTGCTTATAGATGTACTTTGATGCCATCAGTAGAATTGTTCTTTGCCATTAAAGTGTTTATAATACATAATGACACGAGTTGTCATCAGATTATAAGTTAAATGGCGTGAAAACAGATTAATAAATATCCATCCATTTTAGCTTTTTGGCTGCCGCACAGGTATTAGTTAAAACGCGTCTAACTGATGGTCTTTAGGAAAACTGAACTTTAAACAAAGGGTTATCTCATTAAATCTTGCCAAACAATAGTTTTGTTTTTTAGATTTGTATTGCACTCCTTGTTTTCTTCTGGAAAATACAAGCCCTATCTTTGTTCACAAACCGGAAATATGTAATTCGAATTGCATTAACTCTTTCCTCAAACAACAATTTAACTCCACCAAGTTTATTTACAATCCGGTTGTTGTCGCTGCATTTTAATACCAAGTACAAAACGCAGCTGATAAAGTTATTTTAGCGGAATTAGAAAGATAACCCTTTGTACATGTAACTATAAACATGTAAATCTATATTTACCTTGTTTTATATGACCGCCTAAAAGTTCCAGTGACTGATATTTGTTATACTATAGTAATTTTAAATAAAATCAAAAGAACCTTCTTCCAAAATATCGAGAACGGTCCAGGGCGTGGTAAACAGATCGGTTGATAAAACGTTGACTAAAGGTTTTTGGCGGGAGAATTATTTGTTTGTTAACCCAGTAAATTAGTAAAATTTTAACATGATGTAATATGGGCATTTTTCAATGAGTAACACAAACATTAAGTAATTTTGAAACTCTTCCAAGAAGCTATACAAGACACTGAAGTTGCTATAAAAAGACTTGAAAAAATTTGATGATTAACACATAGTAAAAGTTAAAACTCGATAACTTCCTTTACTTCATGATTTATTGATCAATGTATCAATAATATCGTTATGGACAGATTACTCGAACGTGACAAGCATTCGTACGTGAAAGTCTGTTTGGTGATCACGAGTCTATGTATTTACACGGTTAAGATGCATGGTAATTGGAAATTTAGAGCGTGGTTTCCAATGAGAAAAATTCTGATACTAATTTGAGTATATATCCATTTTCATGCATTTTAAGTAGCTATCTGGAATTCCCCGATGTGCAGTAAAAGCGTGTCAAGATATTTTTAACCCATTGACTGTATTGAGGTCATCTTTTATCCTCACTAGGTTACAACTTGTTGTAAACAAACAGTGAGAGTTCACATGTTAGAGACGCTACCGCACACGTTTAAGCTACAGAAAGGTACTCACTGGCGAGAGAAGGGCTATACTAGGGCGGGGTAGGAGAAGAAGGGTATTTTTCTGAGCCAAGCGATTCAAAAATAAAACCTTTGACGGGGGTTATTTTAATGTAATGTGTAGGCAGGAATAAATAAAAATTGCCTGGATTGCTATACTTTGGTCATTGTTTTGATGGTATAGAAGGGAGGGGGGTGGAGTGAAAGGGAAGAACGCCTGGGCTACAAAATGGGGGGGGGGGGGCGTTTCCCTTTTGTCTTATCTACTTACTCTTAAAGCAATCCGATCGCCTGTAATAGGTAACACTATTCGATAAAGAACAAGGTGTCGAGAAAAACGGAGGGGGGAGAGATAGGTGAAATATGGTCATGGACATGGGGGTGGCAAATTGTGTAGAGCTTGTTTCTAAGCAGAACGAGGGTCGAGAAAAAGGGGGTGGGGGTAGGTGAAATAGGGTCACGGACATGAGGGTGGCAAATTCTATAGAGCTTGTTTAAAGCAGTAATCTTCTGTGTGTCTTAAAGAAGAAAGTCGATATCAGGGTATCAGCAAACCTTCCCGAGACTCAGATTAAAAGGAACTCTATCTAAAATGTTGACCCCATTCAAACACTTGCTAAGTTCAAGATTTGGATGCTATGTATTATACGATAAAACGTACACTCGTACTGCTGTATTAATTTATCTGCACCAAATAACTAAGACGTTACATTAGGGAGAGTACGTTATATCAAATAATACTTCTCATATAGTTCCATATAGGTTTTCACTGATACATTAAAAAAATCTTATCGGATGTTTATAAATGAAAGCTAGAAAATATAAACAGTGCCTGCAATTATAAAAAAATCGAAAATGATATAATAAAACAGCACACATGTTCGTAATATGTTGTAAAAAATATCACTTGATAGTCATTTTTGCTTGTTGTTATTTACAGTAAAGCGCATACTATGCAGTCTTACCTTGTGTGTTTGATTTTCAATTTCTTTTATGTCCCAAGGTATGTACCTCTCTTAGTGGGGCGCTTTATTTTCTAAATATCGCTTTAAAAGTTTTCAATATATTTATACACCCACTATCTGGAAAGTACCGTATTAAACCATTATTAATCACGGGTACAATTGTTCAGCAGTTTTACAGACTAACCCAAATTTCCACACAAAACTTCCTTGCCTTAGCAATTCTATGTTGAAAAACTCAGTTTTCTCTTTTGAAGTCGGTGGCTGCAAGAGAGTGGGAGAGAGATTTCTCCTAGTATGGTAAACTGAGGGCGTAAAGCATGTATCATAATGAATACAAGGCTAAAATTAAAATTGTTTCCAACGAGTTGGATAAGTACATGTAAACAAGTTCATTGACTACATGTCAAATTAAAAGTATATTCTGATAATAAAATTTAGCTGTCCACTTCGTGGTGGAACCCGTTGGGCAGTTGCTGGATGTCCTCGCTCTTCGCCGCGGCAGCATGCTTCCGTTTTGTCCCACTGTCTGTCTCTGGCTCATTCGCTTCTGCTGCAATGATGAAGATAAGAAAAAAAGTTAGCAGTTATACAACATTTTCACAAGTGGATCGGAAACAAAGATAAGTTGAAGTTGTTGAGGTCACAAGAATTAATAGTTTAACCTCACCTCGTTCGGCAAATTTAAAATATTATCGGAGAATTTTACTATAATATGTACAGGCCCGTAGCCAGCAATTTCAAAAGGGGGGTTCTTTTTCTGAAAAAGTGGACCTTTTTCCATAAAAACTTAATGTGTCTAGATCAAATTTTACCCAGAGTGGACCTTTTCCCAGCAAAAGGGGCGGTTCTTTCGAACCCCCCGAACCCCCCCTGGCTACGGGCCTG